CCACCACTAGTTTAGCTAAATAAATTAGAATTTTAAGTTTTGGTTAAACAAAGTCTTTATGTTAAGTTTAAGTATTAATAATTATACATTTAAGAGGTAATCAATTAAAACGTAATTCCTGCTTACAAATTTAGTTAAATGCAAATCAAAGGAATTTGAATTATTTGATGTTAGACTTTAGTACATGAGTAACCCATGCATTTCATTACAACTTTCACGTGTCCATATAATTAGTAATCATTGTGTCCCCTAATTGGAACAAATTTTGGGAAGATTGGACTGAAATTCTAATTTAATTAATAAGCATACATTTTATAATTTTCGGCCATTAGGAGATTGACAATTTAAGATGTTTGTATTAGAGTAAATTATGCAAATAGGAGGCAGATTTGTTTTCCCCGTCCACGTGTAAAAGTCATGCAGTGTAATTCCTATCATTTCCTTGTTGTAATTGTAATTGATATAGAAATTGACAGAAAACCAATAATTAATCTCCAGTCATACTATATCAATCGGGAATTATGAATCCATTTCTCAGAAGATTGCATGAAATACGAATTTAAATATGGCTGAAATTCCACTTCCCCTACGTGATTACCCGACTTCAACAGTATAAATAGAGCACTAAAACCACATTCTACTACACGTCCATTACCTCTCCCTCTTTAAAATATTCCTCTATATTATTTAGATTTTTTAAGGCTTTGGAATTGCAATCACATTTCTGCAATTTTATTCTCCACTTTCATCTTCAAAAGGTGAGATACTCAGTGCTATTAGTGGTTTTTCCACATCTTTTCAAATAGGTTATTATGAATTTAATTACTTCAATTCAGGCTCCTTCGGGAGAAATCATGATACATTTTAAGGCACAATTTAGCCTTCACGTTATTTTGCAGCGCTTGCTAGAATTATCATTTGTCATGGTGTGATGATTCTCATGTTATGTTGATAAGATAATTTATTTGTAATTTCATGTTTGACTTGAATGTGGAGTAGCAAGTATCTCATTGAGTATAATTTGTTATACTCATCCCCTTATTTACAATTTTCAGGTAATAATTAGTATGCTGGACGGCGGTGGATGGATTTGCTATTGGACCAACGGATCTTCGTCATGAAGTATTTTAATTTTCAAAAATACTAGAACTAATAATGGGTTATTCATTTTTGACCCAACTGTTCTAATAATTTTTGGATGAATGATATGTTTTCAAACGTTCCGCATATTTAAATTTATCTTTTGGTTAAATGTTATTCAATCTTTCACAGAATTTCTCGTTATATTAAAATTGTTTATTTCAAGGTATATTCATATTTCGTAATAGGGCTGGGCAAATCTCCCGAACCGAACTCGAACCGAACCGATCCGAACCCGACGGTTCTTGTCAAATTAAATACTCGAACGGGTATCTAAATTGAGAACCAACGGGTACGGTTCGGTTCTCGGTTCTAGACCAAGAACCGAATAAGAACCGAATCTTTCTAATTTTTTTTATATTGAGTAAATCAAATTATTTTAATTTTAATTTTTTCTAAACAAATTAACAAATTAATGATTTCTAAATCCAAATTTTTGGCCCAATAATTTGTTTCATTTCTAATTTTTTAATTTTTGGCCCAATTACCCATTTTATTGTTTCATTTCTTAGCCAAATAAGATCAAATCAACTAAATAACCCTAAACACCTACAATAAAGTGCATAACGTTGTCTCGACTCTCGCACTCACTCTCGCAGCCTCGCTAATATTCTAAAACCTATATAATCGTCGGCCGACACTCTGACCTCCGATCGAAGCCGTGACTTTCGCCGACTGAAACTTTGATCATAGCGATCATTTGAACAAGGTAGTTTACTAATCTCTGACATTCCAAAACCATTGAATGTATCATTAGTCGTATTTATATAATGTTGTTATAAATGTTAAAAAATTTAATTATTGTAAAGAACCGAACGGAACCGAACCGAATGGAACCGAACCCGAACGGTTCCATAATTATATTTGGACCCGAAGGTTCCATTTACTAGACACCCGAAAAGTTTGGTTCGGTTCGGCTCTAAAGAGAACCGAACCGAACCGACCCGCGCCCACCCCTATTTCGTAATGTTTTGAGTTATTAGAATTTGGGGCGTTACAGAATGGTATCAGAGCTAAGTTTTCTAAAATCGATCCTGTAGACTTAAAATTTTCAAAAAAAAAATGTTGTTTTATGTGAATAGTTTCGAATGCATGAAATATTTTTCGCTGCCTAGATATTGTAAGGAATTTCATTTTAAGTAAATTTTACTTCTTCCAATTTCCACGTTGAGATTATATATTTTTTTAAAAATAATAATAATGATAAAATAATATTGTGAACAGTGACCTCCATCCAAATTGTGTCACTATTATTTTGGTTTTGTTTGGTGCAGTGCAGTGACCATCACTACTCTCGTGTATAAAAAAAAAAAGATAAATAAAGAAAAAAGGTAAGTCACTGTTCATGGATGAACAGTGACGCGGGAATAGTGAAGTTAAATGGGATTTTGTGAAATTTTTTTTAACGTAATATAAAATAGGGTTATGTGCCTATAGTTGTCCAAACGTGTTTATTTGTTTATTCTTGAACATGATTATTTGTTTACTCATTTACTATAATTTATTTTGGATAAGGACTTATTTCCTATAATGAAATGTCACACACCAAAATTTCTGCCTTCTTTCTTCGATTGAAATTAAAATAAATGTAGAATAGGATTGTTTGGACTTTTTATGCGTAAATTTATGAAATGACCACATAATTGACTCTAACTTCGTATTGTTGTTATTAACAATTTAAAAAAAAAAAAGGGCTATACGTATTTAATCTTTTAGGGGGAATTCATTGTTCGAGTTTTCTTGATTTGCGTATTCGTAAAATTAAAAGGCTTTGTCAAAAAGATCTAAACTGTCTAAGGGGAGCTTGGGATTTAAGCGGTCCATGTGACCCCCCTCCTCACCTGGAAGCCTCTTTAGTTGCGCGTTATTCAAATCGATAAGACGAAAACAATGTTTTAAACCCACTTCAAATTTTATGAAAATCCTTTCATTTTAGAATTTTTTTTTAAAAAAAAATCCATTTTCAAAATTTATATGCATAACAATAATAAGTTACGAGATCCGTGGAATCCAATGCTCATCAATCCGCCACTGTCCAATATTTTTAAGGTATGTAAAGGTGAAGAATATTTTTTATATTTTCATGCATGCTAATTAGTTGTATAATCTCATGAGCTTTTCCTTATGCATCATTTTATTCAAAAGTAGAATGCCAATTAATCATATCATACGATTAATGATACGATTATCATATGAATAAAACCTTAATGCGTAACTTTTGGCCTTAGCATAATATACACGACAGACATGGCTTAGAAAGATCTATAGGAAGAATGTATCATGGTTGAATAGTTCTTAAGATAGATTACTTTTTACTTAAAGGAAATGGCACGACATCAACAAGATCAAGCTACTATGTTCAGAGATTTATTGAGGGCAGTGCAAGACTTGGGCAGGCAGCAGACTCATGCGGCACCTAGTAATGCAACAGGAGGTGCTAACACCATGAGCTCGATCGTTGAGCAGTTTCGTCGTTTCAAACCCCCGTCCTTTGATGGTAAAGGTGACCCTTTCGCAGCTAAGGAGTGGCTAAGAAGACTTGAAGGGATCTTCGAGCACATGAACTGTAGCGACGCTCAAAAGGTTTCATGTGAAAAGTT